ATCATCTTCCAGCTTTGTTGACTGCAAATTGGAACGTTACAGTCGAAAATGTCACTCCTAGAAGTGTTAGTGTCCTCTGGACTAACCTGGAATTACTGATAGGAGACCAAGTTTTGCATTATATAAGTTTGATAACAAGTGCTAACGGTAGCACTGTCTTAAGCGCTGTGATCACAAGTGGAAACACTACGACCGGGAATATTTCTGGATTATCAGTATACACGGAGTATCAAATAAGCACTTTTGGCGTTGGAAGTGATGGGCAAGCGTACAAAAGTTCAAATTTAACATTTTGGACGGAAGAAGGAGGTAAAACCCATTAACTTATCGATGTCATGAACTCTTTTTTCAGTTACCAGTCTTCAGTTTCTAGTTTCTAGTTTCCAGTTTTTAGTTTCCAGTCTCCAGTGTCCAGTGCCCAGTCTCCAGTCTCTAGTCTCCAGTCTCCAGTCTCCAGTCTCCAGTCTCCAGTCTTGATAATAGACTGATTGAAATATCCAACAAGTAGGTGCCATCGAAATGTCGGTCAACTCTTGGAAAAAATAGTTATGATCACATCGGCTCGGCAGAAGAGAACCAGATCGAAACTTTGCAGCGAATTTTGGTGGGCCCGAGAGAGTTGCTTGAGGTGCAAACAAGAATAGATCCAGTTTTAAAAGTGTTGACGCATCAAAAAGTTGCACTGAATTATAACATTTTCAACAGGTTGATTTAAAAGTTGTTTAAAAAGACATTTCCAGCGCTGCTGTACTGAATGTACAACGTATGTCACAACTTTTCGTTTAACCAAATTCTTCAAAGCTGATTGGTAAGTCATATTGTGCTCTTCCCATACTAAGAAATGCGAAAATATCTTCCCTTTTTAGTTCCTAGTGGATCCCCATCAAATGTTCGACTGTCAAACCTACAGCACAATGAGATACAAGTACAATGGGAACCACTTGCACAGCATTATGTAAATGGGCGACTACAGGGATATAGAGTTCGTGTTTATGAGTACGGATATTATTACTATTATTACGGTTCCCCCGTGCAAACTTTGGAGACTCCTGGCCCCTACGTTCACACGATGAAAGTAGGAAGTCTAAAAGCCGCACAACAATACAGAGTAAACGTCGCAGCTTTTACTTCGAAAGGCGAGGGCCCACGATCTTACTGGCGATACATTACAACAGGTATTTCTTTCTATCTGAAACTGGATAAATTTGGTCATAATAAGACAATACCTTCTGCGGACTATTATAAACTTCCCTATGTTGGTCGATTTTCGAACATCTCTCAGACTAAGTTAAGACAACTACTCAAACGTTATTGTAGAGCTGATTTAGATATTAAGTTAGTCTTCAGTACGTTTAAACTCAGAAACATGTTCAGTGTGAAAGATTCAGTACCGCTAGGTCTACGTNGTAAGCCCTGACACGTAGTTTGTAACGTACCTTAATTTAAATTCAAATGTACAACAGTTAAATGCTCATTTGCAACTGAAGATGACATGAGAATGTCGAAACATGTCTTGTAAATTTAAACTCAAAGTTGTTGTTTCTTTTTTGAGAGTTATTGTCACTCTGCTGTCTTTACGTCCTTTTGGTAACAATATGTAAGCCGATTTAGGGACAAGTAATTTCCATATTCTATTTGATATATAATATCGTCATGTGCTTTAATATGGAAAGCGAAATGAAAATAAGCTTCCGAGTATCTAAATGTGGCATTCAGAAATTGATGGCTTACATACGTTTCTGCTTTCAATTAATGTTAGACTATGAGTTTTCCTGACTATTGCCACATAGACAAACGTCATGTGTATTGATAACGGTGATGGTAAGAATTTAAAAATTTTTCATCAGAGTACTATTAGCCACCTCCACGGATTCACTTGTTTATATCAGCGTTACGTGGGTTGCTTGTAACTTTTTTCAAACTGCCATCTGCTTTTTGATATTTACCGTTCGATAAATAAGTAGAGAATTTGAGGATATCAAATGCTCTCTTGGAATTGAAAACAGCTTAAGTATCCTGAAGAACGTTAAGACAAGTAAAGAAAATAAATATATATTTTTTCTGCAAAAATACGTCATTTGAAGTCAGGTAATTTTTTTTCTAATCGTTGTCGTCTCCTATTTCTTAGCATGCGGAGGAAGCGTAAATCAGTCATTCGGCGAGATACAAGTTGGACGAAGGGGTTACTACTCAAGTTATCTTCGATGTAACTGGGAGATTGACAACCCGGGATTCAACCAATCTATCCTGATTGTATATTTTGAAGAACTGTATATCTCAAGCTATTAGTAAGTGATGCGTGTCGAAAACTATTTGTAAGTCCTCCTCGGAAAAAAACATTGATAAGAAAATCTCTGCAAAATGCAAAAGTAGATCTGACGATTAAACTAAAAAGACTTTCAAATCATTTTAAAAATATTTCTCCCTTTCCACCCAAGCTACATATCCTACGAAATACCTATGGACCCTCTAAGACACGAAGAAGATGAAGTTGCTGGTTATTGTTTGGTACTTTTGTTGTTATTGTGTGAGACAGATGAACTTTGTAATAGCCTTGTTTGCCATAGAGTTTCTGTAGCCCGTTGGTAGAGCATTGAAGCGAGGAACCGGAAGGTCTGGATGCATAACCTTTCAAATTGAAATTTTAGCCTCACTATAACAGCTCGAATAGCTAAGAAAAATTTTCTTCTTTATTTTGACAGTGAATATGTAAAGATTATGGATGGAAATGGTGTAACAGTATTTCATGACTCTGGACATTCGTCTTCCGCTTTGAAAACGTTCCTGCTAGTTCCTTATGGGAGTGGAAATAATGTCAAGGTGCAGATTTACTTCTACAATAGCTGGAGTCAGTTGAAGCTTCAATACGGAATCGTAAATCAGGACCTCCAGTCAGGTGTGTTACTTTGTTCGCATTAAATGCCTTTGATGTTGAGCATTAAGCTGGACAAATTTTACCAGAATCGTTTTGTTTTGATTTGCATTTGCATGCTTACTACTTAAGTCTGATACAGACTTAAGATACAGACTGATTCTTATGCAGTTGGTAAATCCGCTTCCTGTGCTTTCTTATTTTTCAGCGTAATGATATACTTCTCTCTGCGCTCCCAATACTACCGATCTATAACTTATATGGATTTATTTCATTTCTTAGCTGTATTTGTGTCCAATTGGAACGTAACCATTGGGAACACTACAGAAAGTAGTATCGGCACCCAATGGCAAAATTTGAACGAAATGCTGAATCAACAAATTCTTCACCTCGTTGGCCTTCTGCAGACCTCCAATGGGACCACTATGAACGCCAAGATCATGCCTGGCAATACGACTTCTGTTGTATTCGATGGACTTTCATCCTATAGACAATATTCTATTGCTATTGTTGGCGTTGACAATAATGGAAATGCCTATAAGAGTGCCAATATCACAGCCTGGACAGACGAAGGAGGTAAGTGTTGACCCTGAGCGCCACGTAAGGTCAAAAATATTCTTTCACAAAAATTTATTTATCATGAAATGGCTGTGTTAAGTTTATCTAATTTGAAGTTCATTAGTTATGTTCATGCACAGCTCTTCTGCTGCATAATCATAGAAACTTTCCCAATAAAGGTAACTTCAGAGGTTCTAAGATACTCGGGACTTTTTACGGCTACACAATAGAAATACCTATTACCTTAATTTTGTCCCTGTCTTTCCCCACCTTTTTTCTTCCTTTCTGTGGGAAAGGAGTTTTCCAGTACCATAGTGATTGTAAACATGCATAACCTGTAATTTTTAACTTAACTTGTCGACTACGCGACAGGCTATTCATCGGTAATAGATATCCTTTTCATTTTTATTTTTTTGTTTGTTTTTGTTGTTTTCAAAAAGTCCTAAAAACTTAACTAAAGAATCAATAGTGAGGGGTTTGATCCACTAACTCATAACCCTCCTGTTTTCCAATGGTTTGGTTGAGGATTCCAAAACTCAGAAAAGAAAACTCAGAAAAGAACTGAGCCAAAATCCAGCAACCTTGACCTCTCGCTTGGTCAATGACGCATATTTATTCTTTTATTCAGTCCCGAGCAGAGCGCCAAGTGGCGTACGAGTGACAACTGTGGAGTACACAACTGACCTGCTAGTGAAATGGAACCCTTTATCTCAGATCTATGCAAATGGCAAGATATTGGGATATACCATATATTATAGAGAATACAACAATTGGTATTCCCCGTATAAAACTATCAATACAAGTCGTCCTTATCCAACGCAGTTCGTTTTGAAAGGACTGAAGCCGGCGGAAAGATACCGTGTTGCAGTGGCAGCCTTTACATCCAAGGGACGTGGACCCATGTCATACTTTACTTACGGGACAACAAGTAAGATAAATCATTTGTGTTACGAGGAAGCACAATCTATCATTTTAGCATTTTCTAAAAAGTGGGTATAAAAAACGAATTTTTTGTCATGAGTCAAACTTTATTTAGCTGGCATAATTTATTCCATGTTGACCGGAATAATGCAAAACCAACTCCCTTGGGCCTTCGACAAAACAAGAGAATGCTTTTTATGCACAACCGTGGAAACTAAATTCAACATGCATCAGTAAATTGGAAAAAAACGACCATTTCCAGCTTTTTAATTTTACTTTCGAAAGCTTCTGGTAGCTCAGACTCTTTTACCAACGCAAAAATACTTGAAAAAGTAAAAGCGTAAATAAGGTTATATACTCGAGAATGATTCAGAATGTGAGTAGAAAAACAAGAAATAACCTTTTATCGCTTCTTGTCTCTCCAAAAATACTAGGCTGTTCTCAAACTTTACGAGAAGCTTTTGGAGAAATACAACATTCGCCAAACAACAACTACTATCTCCGTTGTCATCTAAGCATTACGAGTGGTGGTATGCCTGACGCCATAGCCGTATTTTCTGTGCAAGAAATAAATCTCAGATACTGCAGGTACACAGAATAGGTTTCTTTAATTATTTTTCAGGAATAGCTGATACGTTGCTTAACATGAATCTTTTCATTTTGGAAACAGTACATTTTTATTAGGTGGTTTTATATACTATAATTGTCTTGGATTATTTGTCAGTTCGATTTTTTTTATTTCAATCTTCCGCTCTTATTTATGCAATTTCCACGCACGCCGTATTCTTATTCACCGATAACTGCTCTTGTCTCCTTTTCAAAAATAAACAAGGTGAAGGTTGGGAGAAATGTATGGTTTTTCCCCTACGTAGATTCACTAATCTTTTGATTGATTTCTTTCGAATGTTTCAGCGATTATGTAAAGATTACCGATGGAAACGGCACTGATGTTTTATATTATAATGGTTGCAATGAAAAATTTGCTCCAGAAATTCTCTTTGATGTGCATTTTGGTTTGTCCAATAACATATCAATTCAAGTGTCCACAAGCAGTTCAAGCAGTAGTATCAAAATAAACTACGCCATTTTAATGAAGAGCCTAACTTCGTGTAAGTTTATTTTGGCAGCCACATCATTTGTTTCTTTCTATCTGCCTTTCAAGTTAGAAATATTTTTGTTGTATTAATTTTTTAATTATTCCCGTTCCACTCCTAAATCTGCTTTACTTTCGTAGCCTTTGTCGTCTCGGGATGGAATATATCAGTATCAAACCCTGACTCCTCTGGTGCCACACTTCAGTGGACAAGCCTCGATGCAAACGTAAACCATCAAGCAAATTTTTACATCATTGAGGTTAAAAGCATGGATGGCGCTCCACTGGATGTCCATACCGTTCCAGGAAATACCACAACGTCAGTCATAAAGCGACTCAAACCCTCTACAATGTATCGTGTGGTCGTTTATGGAGCTGATAACAATGGGCAGCCATATATGAGTTCACAAAGCATTCTTACTACTTCCAAAGGTAGGGGATATTTTGATAAACTTCAAAGTTTACGTCTAAATGAGACAGGCTTCTTGGCCAAGTACACAGCTGGCAATTTCCATTGCCATGCCTGAGCGCCCTAACCAACTTTTCAAAGTCCTCACTGCCGCTTAAAAAAGTCCAAAATATGTTAAAGTAATCATGATAAACTGTTATGTTTCCTTAATTCTATCGCTAGTGTTCTGCGGAGCTCGACCCAGTTCGACGCGCATCGTCGGTGGCACAGTTGCGGTTGTAAACAGCTGGTCTTGGCAGGTGATGCTGACAGAGAATGGAAGGCAATTCTGTGGCGGATCATTAGTGGATCCATACTTGGTACTCACAGCAGCTCACTGCGTTCAGTGGAAATCGGCAGCTAACCTCAAAATAAGGTGAGTTAACAAATAGAGAAGCCTTGACTGTGCACTGTACTGCTTGTAAAGCATAAAAGAAACGGCTAGAGAAAGTTAGGGAGAGACACGAGACGTAATCGAATGTTTCTCCCTACTCTTTGAGTGCTCTTGGAGATTCCTAAGTACTTTACAACAGAAGAGAGCACTGGCAAGGATTTTCTATTTGCGTTCCAATAAAGAATCCGTTAAATTTCCCGTGCATTACTTTCAATTTTCAAATCAAACTTTATTTCCAGAGTGAACAGGTGTCGTCAACATACTTTATACTCTCTAAAGCAGGCTACAATAAACCAATCAGAATCTTCGTTAGAATGGTTCAAGTAGTCTGATTGGTTGAATTAGACTGATGCTGTCATAAACGTCAAACCATCGAAGTTCACAAACAGCAAAAGTTCACAAACTGAAATAGTTCGGCGGGCGGAATTTAACACTTTTTTCTGAAGCTTTTAAGTCTTTCAAGATACGGAATCTGAACGTGAAATGTTCCGCGAAATCCGGCCGAATTGTGCCCTCATAAAACGCGCCAGCTTTTTCACATGACAATTAGAAAACAAACTGCTCAAGGGGTGTTTATGAATGAACGACAACTTAATCACAGGAGCAAGACGATTGCTCGGATGACAGCGCTGTAAATCTCGGCTGCTATGACTGATGTGGCCTTCCACTCAACGCACCGGAAAGGATATCAGAGCAAGCTCTTGGCTCAGTTCACTCGAAAGGCGGCCGATGTGATTTATTACGCTTGCTTTACTACGATAATCGGAAATCGCCATGATGAGCCAACCGCGATTGACCTCAGCATGATCGTAGTCGCTACGACATCGTATGAATTTTAAAAGTTTGCCTAGTTTGGATATATTTTCGAGTTTCATCGTAGCTGTTTCGTTCGGTTTGGTTTTTATACACGAAACCATGTATGCAATCTAACTGAGCGTGAAAACCTCCAAAACTGGGACTGTCCGTTTCCCTTTCTTTTTGAGGATTTTCGTCTCTTCACATGTTATAATAATGTAAATTACGGCGCTTAGCATGTTTACAAGCCTTTGTTTGGTTCTTCTGTTGCAACTTGCAACTGTTCCGAAATTTCACCTTCAATTAACGAAAAAAAATCCAGTCAAAGTACAAATTGGCAGATGGCGTGACAGCTTTAGCTCAGCTCCTTGCTCTATGCTCTGATAGGACACGCACTTTCAACCAATGACAGCGCGCGTTATATCCGAACTTTATTATAATAAATAATGTCAAAAAACATTCCCTTACCCTCAATTATCCGTGATCCAGTGAAGCGAACCGGAGTGTACTTCTTGAAAGTCATATTTGCTCTTACACAAACCTCAACCATCTAGCTAACCAAACCTACGCCTTGGGAAATAGAAAATCATCATAATTAGTTGCATATAATGATTTTTACACTTTGTACATACGTATCCTCAGGAAAATTAAGGTCCTAATCCCCTTCGCCAACATAAAGCTTTACACTACTCGTTTTCTTTAAAAAATCATCTTGTGGGAGAGCTAAAAGGAACATATAAACTTTTTGAAGGCTTAATCAAGACCAATTTAGAGAGTACTATCATCTTGGCAACCTCTATGAAATGGGAACACTAAAAGCAAAAAAAACTTCGTTGTGTCCTTTGGTGATTGTATCAGGGGTCGACAGTGGCATAAAATTAAAGGTGCAATAAAGCCTAAACCTTAGCTAACGATTAACTCAAACCATGATCAGTGGGCTAGACTAATTTTCCATTTCTTACTTGCAGGGTGGGAGCCCATTACAGGACCAGTGGAAGCGTTGGGACGGAACAAGACATCAACGTCTCCAAAATCAAAGTCCACGAGAATTACCAAAGGCCGAAAACATATAGTAACGACATCGCTCTTCTATACCTAAAAAAACCTGCTGTGCTTGGAGTAGGCGTCGGACTAGTCTGCCTGCCGGATATCAATAATGTTCTTCCCATTGACTTAAATGAAACATGCTGGATAACAGGTTGGGGAGATTTGTATTCAGGAGGATATCAACCGAATACCCTAATGCAAGCGTCTGTGCCGCTGGTGTCCAAACAACGTTGTTCAAATGTTTATCCTGGAAAAATCGACGACTCAATGCTGTGTGCCGGCTTGGATCAAGGTGGAATTGACACCTGTCAGGGCGATAGTGGTGGACCGCTGGTGTGTGAGTTCAATGGCACCTGGTATCTTGAGGGCATCACCAGCTGGGGATACGGATGCGCTCAAGCTTATAAGTATGGTGTCTACGCCAAAGTGCGGGCCTTGGATTCTTGGGTACAGGCCAATATATACAAGGTGGTTCCACCAAATACAATACAGCCGCAGAATCAGTCATCGGTTTCTTTGCGTAAGTATTGCCTCTTTCATTTAATAAGGAAAATACACAATTTAAAAATTGTTCAAAATACATGTATTTAAGATAAAAAAAGAAGGGCTTTGCGCAAACTGTGAAGGCGATGGTAACCCTCACAATGAATTGATCTTTATCTAAGTGGCTGCTCTCATTATCTATGAGTATTTGACCTTTACAAACCATTTTTTAACTTTCGACCAAAAGAGACAATTGGAAAAAAAAATTAAAAAAATGGCATGCTTAACGTGAACAGTCTCCATCATTTCCTTCAATTGCACTAGTTTGGTGTAGCTTTGACAATGGTTTGTGTTCTGGATGGAGCCAATCCTCTTCGGATGATTTTGATTGGACGCTTGGATCAGGTTCGACGCCTTCCTCTTCAACAGGTCCCAGCTCTGGTGAGGGAGGATCAGGTTAGACATAACCTAGAAAATAAATGAAATATTTGTAGCATCGATGATATAGTTCACAAATCATATTTTACCACAAAGGTTAATTTCCTTTTAGATTGGATAATTTCGTTAAAATCGATTTTTGACGTCCAAGTTTGTTTTAAAAGATAAAAAACCGCTCAAAGAGCCGTATATTGCACCTACCATTGAAGCCGCGAGAAAGTACTTTGCATAGCATCAAGGAACCTTGAGTGGTTCTCAGTATCAATAAGTAATCATCTACATCACACTTGCCTGACCTTGCTTTCACGATGGATCTCTTTCATCTCAATACAAGCGAACATGATGAAGTAGTTTACCTGACGTATGTCGTAGGTCACTGGCATCAATTTCTTCTCTTCTATTGTTTGACAAAAAGATGTTACATTACTCTTCATCATTGTTTATATTCAAGATGTCTTATATGTTTCTAATGCTGCTTTAGGAAATTATATGTACATCGAGGCGTCCTCGCCAAGAAAACCTGGAGAAAAGGCGCAAATGGTGGTCACAGTCCCAAATAAAGGGAAAAAAGCGTGTCTTTCATTCTACTATCATATGTTTGGAACTTCCGCAGGAAGTCTTAATGTCTACAATGGTAATGACATAGTATTTAACGTGTCAGGAAATCAGGGAAACAGATGGGTGATCGTGGAAAAAAGCTTACACCTTGATAGCGAGGCAAGTAATGTCTGGTTTCCTAAGTTTTTTCATGTTAGTTTCTTCTTATTATTAAGAACACTGACAAAAGTAGCAATCCAAACAATGAATTATCATAAAACATTCTATTTGCAAGCCACTTAAGGAGCAAAAAACCTGACAGCCATAAAATAGTTATCGTATCAACGTCGGAATCCAGTGCTCGCAGTCACGGGAAAAATTACTTGGAGAGAAAAGAATGACATGACATTTGATGACGACAAAATCCAATTTTAGAAGTTCCGAGTTCAATCTTCAAACAGTTCCCAGTCCTTTTTCCAGAGATTAGATGGTGAGCTTTGCCACAAGAGTGATGAGAGGAAAAGAGAAGAGAGGATAGACACAAGAAGTCATTGTACAAAATTTTCCATTCATCTTTCCAAGACTTTCTTTGCTAAGACATGTATAACTGCAGATACCAATCAACAAAATTGGATTGTTTGCTTTGGACGGGCCCTTGTCTATGGATGAATGCGTTCTATTACGTTTTCCTTTTCTTGAATCGCCCTTCTAAATATAGCTGACATCTAATAAATGGTAAATACCTAAGGGATTTTCATTTGAAAAGATTTAACAATTTATTATTATAATTGTGAATGCAGACTGCTAAATGTTTGTTTCGCCTTCCTTCAGATTACATTTGAAGGAGTACGGGGGGGTTCTTATACGAGTGATATCGCCATTGATCAAGTACTGATTACCGAAGGAAACTGCCCAGGTAATGGTGTAATCATTCAGGTTGAGTTTAGTTCTGCTCAATTGTTTTATCTCGATGTACAAGCATTTTAGTAAGTAATCCTTGACGACAAGAATTCTCAAATTAGACCCTTTTGTAAGCTAAGTGAGGAATCTTTTTGCTCGTCACATACATATACAATGAAGCCTGAGGGGCCATGATTTTGTAAGTGTTCCCGTGATTATAGAAATATGTGCACTCTGATTGGTCAGGGATTGCGTCATATCTCGCTATCACCTCGGGTGATGTGATTATAGCAGGGTTACTTAGTTTCAAATTGGCTGCTTTGCGTTTTGTCAATGTCACCGAGCAAGCGATAAAGGCGATTGGATGAAATTCAAGTCTGGAAAGCAAAACGTCATGTCCTTCACGAGAAGGATATGACGTTTTTGCTGATTGAATTAAATAAAACTGTTCAATTATTTTGGTGACTGGCTGGCTCTCTCGATACGGGTATTCAAAACAATTGTAACAGAATGTTTTCAGCAACAAAGCGAATTTTCAACAGAATTCGAAATCACCTGAGCAATTGTTTCGAAATTAATTCTTCACCTCAAGCTCTATGAATATTGTTAAACAACTTCGTCTCGGGAATTATTTGGCGAAAAATTGTTACTTATTGCCTTTTTCTTCTAGTTTCATGTGGCTTTGACAGTGGGTTATGCCTTTGGTGGAGCCAATCAAAGTCAGATGCCTTTGATTGGAGGCTTGGTTCTGGTTCCACGCCATCATCAGGCACGGGGCCTTCATCAGATCGGAGTGGAACAGGTTTGCAAGCTTTAATTGAGAAATTTAATTATCAACTGGTCATTTGCAATCACCGTTCTCAAAAAAGACAGATATCTGTAGACTCAGCACAATCACAAATTACTGCACGCCTGTTGTGCCTCTAAAGACCGATTTCTCCCTTCCAAACCGTTTTAAAACATCTTTCCAATTAATTCTAAAATATCTTGACTTTCCCCAACTATCAAACAGAAATAAAAAAAACTTGGGCATCTCCTTTTTTTTTGTCACAGGAATGTATATGTATACTGAAGCCTCATATCAGTCGAGGGGTGATAATGCAAAGCTCGAACTTTCAGTGCCTAGCGGAAGATCATCTTCTTGCCTTATTTTCTACTATCACATGTACGGATCAACAATGGGGACGCTAAATGTGTTTAATGGAAATGAAAAAGTATTTACCAAGTCAGGAAATCAAGGTTTCTATTGGAAGAAAGTGATCAAAACTTTACACTTGAGAGATGTTGTAAGTTCACAGGTTTTAGCTCTATATTTTATTTTCATCTATACATGCATTTCCAAAATTTGCGTTTGCGATCAGCTTTCCTCTTCAGAGGTCATGCACCTAGATAAACTAGGATATTTGTAATCTCTAGCTTTTCAGTAGAAATCATTTAAGTTCATGAAAAAAAACTGTAAAAAAGAGTTTATATCTTAATAGATATATATACACTGTTTCATATATACACAAGTAAGCGGAAAGTGACAAAGCATATATTTGCAATGGATTCCCATCATAGCTTTTTTATTTAAAGAAAAGAAAAACGCGACTTTCTAACGCGTGATAGTTTTAATTTCAATTTTTTTAGCTTTGTTTTTATTTTTTCCTTTAATTTTTTTTTACTGTTGTGCCTGCCTCTTTAGTTGACATTTGAGGGGATTATAGGGACATCTGTCACAAGTGATATCGCTATTGATGATGTCAAAATAAGCGATGGAAACTGCCCAGGTATGGCTTGCATAGAAGACAGAATTGTGCCAAATCTACTAAAGCTCCTCATTTGATTAAAAAGAAAAAGGGAGTAGTTAAGTATCTGGTGGAGGACAGACTCACTTATTGTGATCTCCAAAAATTCCACGATGCTGAAAAATATAAATAAAGGGTAAAATCCCATCTGGTACGCTTGAAACCGGCAAATTGTTCAGAAAATGAGGATTGGCTATCGACAAACTAGCTCATCATGGTCATCTTAGGGGATAATGCTCATAAAATGAAAACTGAGTTATTTCCTGGCATTATGGGCTTCTTGGCCCGAGTGCGAAACTGGCTGATCACCGCCATTTTACCAAATGCCAGTAAATTTTAAGAACTGAGTGAAGATTAAATGTTAGACAAGAATAACGCATTTTCATACTGTTTAGGTTGTGGCGGTGTTTTAAACAAATCTTCTGGAGTGGTACACCTTGCTAACACTGGGAACGAAGACGAGACGCATTGCATTTGGACAATTGGTAACGCTGGGTTAAGACAATCATATGCATCGCTGTCTCTTCAAAGAGTATCCTTAGGATATTGCAGGTATTATTATTTGTCTTATTAATACTTTGTTGCATTTGCTACATACCTACACCCATAGATGATTTAAATGTATAAAAAAAAAAAATCATAAATATCACATAGAAACTGAAGCAGGAGACAGGACTATGTCACAATCGATGTCCAGCCCCAACAGAAGTTAGTATTAAAGAAGACATCAAATTTTTTAAAAAAGGAGTCGTTCAAGTAGATCGGAGTCAACAGTGTATGGCCCTCCCGTTCTCAGTCACACTTGCGCTATTAAATTTAACTTATTTATCACTAATAGAAGGCTAAAGCTTGCGTTTCAAAGTTTGAAATGAATTTACATTTTTAGAGCCTGTCGGCAATTTACTTCAAACGAAAGTAAGTCTGTAACAATGCATAAATGCAGGAATAGAGTTCCCTTACAGAAGAATCCCTTTAGATAACGTGAGCATTTCTTACCTTATTGTTAACTTTATAGCGAGTATGTCAGGGTCTTTCATAAAGATGGAACGGAACTGTTTAACCAAGGGGGCTGTCAGTCTTCGCTTCCATACGGCACCTCACTGGAAATTCCCTTTGGTGTCTCAAACCACATAACAGTTGACATTTCCCTGCAGTATAGATGGAGCGCGGTTAACATTCAGTACATAATCTCAAAACAAAGACATAATTCTGGTATGATTTGATCTTCGTTTCAATATTTGTCTACCTTTTCGCCAACTAGATTTTAATCCAGGAAAACGCTATGGATCGATAGAAATCGAGGTTTCGAATTTGGTCAACGTATTTTACTTGATTATTTATCTTAACTTTGACAACTGTGTTTTATTCTCCCCCCCCCCCCCCTGAAAACAAAAAGAGAGAAAAACTCTGGATCTATAGATCTTGGCTTAGCATATCGAAAAAGCCGGGAAATTTGGTCACAAGGAAGAGAATGTTTATGTTCTGATCTTACTTAAGATAGTTTGTTTTTCATCTTTTTTTTGATAGGCTATTGAAAGTCATCAGATTAAGAGATCGATTTGACCTTAATGTAATTACTTAAAACAAATAACCGAATAAAACAGAACCAAAGAGAAACTTAACAGGGCCAAAAACGCATTCGGTCTAACGAATTATTTAGGTTGATGAGTCTGGAGTGAGACTTCTACTTTGAAGAAAATGGAAAAACCGAGTTCAGTTCAAGGATGTTCAGGCGCGTAGCGTGGTCATTTTTTCAAGTACGCACAAGTACATATGATCTAGAAACCTAACTAAACCGAGCGAAAAATACTGCGTTCTTTATTTCTTGTTTGAAATAGTTGTGTGAATACAAGCAAAGAACAAAGAGTCTTGCCCTTATTTTGAGCAAACTTGGCGCAAACACAACATTGTTTTCAAATTTTTCTGGTCACTTCAAGTACGCACGTGCGTATATGCGTAGAGGACGCTACGCGCCTGGTGTTGTAAACAAGATTCTGTGTTCCCGTACTCCTTTCAATATTTTCAAGTAACTACATGTATTTATCGATTGGTATAATTATCATTTTATTCAACCATCTCTTTAAACCATGGCGCGAATGTGTGCTCTGACTTAACAGCCCAACCAATATCTTCCTGGAATACAACAGTGGACGGAATAACATCATCGTCAGCCACTGTCCGGTGGTCAAACTTTCCACTATCTTCTTCGATCAATCATTATTTGGTGAGGTTCAATGAGGTTTCTGGTGTCAGCACATTGTTCCAAGTCAGCACCTACAGTAACTCTTATTACACCAACCGTCTCAAGGGATACACATCTTATGATGTCGAGGTTTTAGCTGTGACTGCCAGTGACGGAAATGTTACGTATTCTAGCAGAACTGTTTCAATGAAGACTGCAGAGGGTGGTAAGTCCTCCTGTTATATTTTTTTAAGTTGAAATCGATAGCAATTAAAAATTAAGTTGGACATGGTCGAGACAAAAAGAAATCCTCGATTTCCTCCCCGTATGATAAGTGCGACACACAATACATGTATTAACAGTATTTCCACGAGCCTGATATCCCGAGGGATAGGAAATAAAAAGCTGGGCTCTCGCTACTTTAAAGTCTTCCTTGAAGGGAGTAATTATGATGAAATAACAAGAAATAACCCCAAGCATCGATGAAAGATGTTCTGAAATAGAGCACAATGATACGCATCTCATCATCTCTAAGCAAATTTAAGCTGCTAAATTACATGAACAAATATGTAGCGAACGAAGAGATTCCATGCATGTTCTTATGGAATAGAAATAGTAAAAATGTGGCAAGAAGAAAAAACCGAGAGCGAATATGTCACAAATGTTTTTACTTATTCTGATGTCATTTTGGATGTGCTATGAATCAGGTGCACAGCAACATGCAGGAATTCATTAGTTTTTCGTCCATCAGATAATGAAGAACCATTTACTCTGACAAATGATAACCGTTATGACGATCTGTATTTTGCAGTTCCAAGCCGAGCTCCGTCAAAGGTCCGTGCGGCTAGCCATGGATTTAATGAACTTTTGGTTGAGTGGGATCCACTCCCTCACCAATACGCCAATGGTCGACTTTTGGGATACAAAGTCTACTACAAAGACACTGACTATTATTACTGGTCGGAGAAATCTGTTAATACGAGTAACGCTGACGAGTCACAGGTTGTACTGGGCGGTGTGCAGACAGGCCGTCGCTACAATATTTCTGTTGTAGCATTTACTTCTAAGGGGGAGGGGCCCCGATCTCCAGATCTCTACGTAACCAAGGGTAAGAACCAATTGAATCCTAGGCATTAATAGGAGAAACCGATATTCTGCACAAGGCTATAAATCAACGTGTCTATTATATAACCCCAAAAATACTACCTGTGCAAATTGCAATCTATTGAAGACTTTGTTCGCCTTGGTATATAATCGACTCTTGAATCCCAAACATGATTTTATCTTGTATTTTCCTGAATTTTAGGTTGCGAAGGCCTTGTAAACCAAGTGTCCGGTTCGTTGTATTTTAGTAATTCGCGCTACAGTACCCTCAACTGCAGTGTTCAAGTACAAAATGCTGGAATCCAACATGGATCGGTTCTTATTTCCTTCCAGAGCTTATATTTTGGATATTGCAGGTAGCTTCGTGGACATTAGTTTTGATTTTGTTTTTTGGCCCATTTAGATAAATGAAAAACATCTTGCTTTGGCTTACGGAAAAACGAGAAATTGGCTAATTTTCTAAACGGATCGGTTTCCTTCACTGAGCACTAACGTACATTGATCTCGTCGTTTTTATTACCGTTGATTGATAAAACACAAGCGCTTTGTTCCGAACACATAATCAAAGAAAACCGAATTAAAAATAATTTCTTAAAATACAATAGTGTTGCGAGACAGTAACAAGACTTATTTTCCGTTTTTTGCATCAGTTCTGCCGTATGTAACTGTCTTATCAATATACACTAAGACTTACTCAGTGTTTGTAATTCTTTCACCTCTAGCGAGTACATCAAGATTTTTAATAGCAATGGTGTTCAGGTTTTTCATCGTGGAGGTTGTGATTCCCTAACTAGCGGAATTTCCGTGGAAGTCCCATTTGGTGATGGGCATAGCATCACGCTCGCTTTTCTATTTTCGTACCGATATAGTTACGCCAGAGTCCAATACTCCATACTAAATCAGCCCCTCAGCTCAGGTAACAAACATATTGAGTTACTTTTGAATTTCAAATTGCTAAAAAAAATGTTTTGGATTATTAGTATAGCAATGAGAAAAGATAAAAAATAATAAAATAAAAAGGAAAAAATGAAAGGGCGCAGAAGGGTCAGTCCGTGGAAAATAGAAATGAGTTTCCAAGGAAGGATTCAAAATAGTTTTATCATTTTTGTGATTTTTTTCTCCTAGCTAGCAAGACTTATTCTTTTACGTATGATGCACGATCCTCGCAGTAGATAGCGCTATTTAAGCAATAGCGAAAATCAGACCTCAAAAAAAATCAGGCCTGTACGGGACTCGAACCACTGACCTCTGCGATACTAGTGCAGCGCTCTACCAATTGAGCTAACAAGCCAAGTGGACCATATGACATAATTGAATGCGTTTACCTCCCTCGTCAGTCCTTCCGATCTCTTTCCTACTGGTAAATGTACCATTGCTAGAGTTGGACGCCACAGCAATAACTTGCACGTCATAATATTTGTAACTCCTAAGCGCCCTACCAGTGTAGGTTCGAATCCCGTACAGGCCTGATTTTTTTCAGGTCTGATTTTCGCTATTGCTTAAATAGCGCTATCTACTGCGAGGATCGTGCATCATACGTATGATGTTTTATCGTTTCTTTTTAATAATTTTTAAATGATTCTCTGGTAACCAAAGGGATTTCCACGTCAACCCACGTGATGACTTTCAAGCCGACAACTATTCCTCGCACTCCATCAGCAAAGGAAATGCAAGAAGCAGTGATGTTAAAAATGACAAACTTTGATATGAACAAGGTGATCTTTACTTACTATTTAATTATCTGGCGAAGCAGAAGAAAACTTACCTACGCGATTATCATACAATGAATTGCTAAACACAGAAACATTTTCATTGCAGCCTGAGGTGAATCAACCTTTTGTCACTTTTTCTTGCACTGTTCATACAAAAAGTTCTCTTTTCTATTTTGTATTTGTCCATCATAGTGGAAGAAGATGGAGGCGGACTTTAAACAAGAAGTTGCGAGTGCAGCCACTAGATACTGCGCAGGTGGAGGAGCATCCTGTCAAATAAGGTGAACCAATATCATTAAAAAAAGCAGTTATCAAACTAAATTTAAAAAAATGCAAATTCAATGCAAAGGGACGAACTGGAAAATTGATAATTATATTCATCAAATAAAATGAATACGGAACTAAGGCCATATAGTACCCACAGGTCCACTCTGGACTACTACTGTAAGAAGAACGGGATAAGATCTTAAAGGACCGGAAGGTAGAAGTTTTGGACTTACCAGTTCCTAAACTTAATTTTTCGCAAACTGGATTCTTGAGAATCAGAAGAAATTTCTCTTGTCACGTTGGGATACCATTATACTGAAACACAAATGATGACGACAATGAAAATAATAATGATATACCTGTGGAGAGTCACATGCATTCTTTTATCCATTTCAGCCTTCGACGGAGAAGATCTTCTGACAGCATAGAATTCTCAGCAGATATGGTCCACATTGTCCCTGGTTACCCAAAGCAGTCACCGGATGATCCCAGCATAACGTTGTTGGCTTTCTATCTGCAGCTTCCTGGAGACATCGGAGATAGCTTGGTCAGCGAGGACGTCCTGCAAAACATCGTGAAAAGCGATATGAAATCTATTGAAGGGTCGATGGGTGTTAGCATCACATCTGTTCAGCCAATGCCATCCACTCAGCTTCAGGTCGATGGGTCGATGGGTGTTAGCATCACATCTGTTCAGNAGTGGTTCGAATCCCGTACAGGCCTGATTTTTTTCAGGTCTGATTTTCGCTATTGCTTAAATAGCGCTATCTACTGCGAGGATCGTGCATCATACGTATCTAATACCGCAGTTCAAAATATATGAACTTCATATATTTCATTGTATCTGATTTATCACTTTCACGGGTTTATTACGAATCAACTTAACGGCCTGCTCCCAGTTGGCTTGTTAGCTCAATTGGTAGAGCGCTGCACTAGTATCGCAGAGGTCAGTGGTTCGAATCCCGTACAGGCCTGATTTTTTTCAGGTCTGATTTTCGCTATTGCTTAAATAGCGCTATCTACTGCGAGGATCGTGCATCATACGTATCTAATACCGCAGTTCAAAATATATGAACTTCATATATTTCATTGTATCTGATTTATCACTTTCACGGGTTTATTACGAATCAACTTAACGGCCTGCTCCCAGTTGGCTTGTTAGCTCAATTGGTAGAGCGCTGCACTAGTATCGCAGAGGTCAGTGGTTCGAGTCCCGTACAGGCCTGATTTTTTTGAGGTCTGATTTTCGCTATTGCTTAAATAGCGCTATCTACTGCGAGGATCGTGCATCATACGTATGATGTTTTATCGTTTCTTTTTAATAATTTTTAAATGATTCTCTGGTAACCAAAGGGATTTCCACGTCAACCCACGTGATGACTTTCAAGCCGACAACTATTCCTCGCACTCCATCAGCAAAGGAAATGCAAGAAGCAGTGATGTTAAAAATGACAAACTTTGATATGAACAAGGTGATCTTTACTTACTATTTAATTATCTGGCGAAGCAGAAGAAAACTTACCTACGCGATTATCATACAATGAATTGCTAAACACAGAAACATTTTCATTGCAGCCTGAGGTGAATCAACCTTTTGTCACTTTTTCTTGCACTGTTCATACAAAAAGTTCTCTTTTCTATTTTGTATTTGTCCATCATAGTGGAAGAAGATGGAGGCGGACTTTAAACAAGAAGTTGCGAGTGCAGCCACTAGATACTGCGCAGGTGGAGGAGCATCCTGTCAAATAAGGTGAACCAATATCATTAAAAAAAGCAGTTATCAAACTAAATTTAAAAAAATGCAAATTCAATGCAAAGGGACGAACTGGAAAATTGATAATTATATTCATCAAATAAAATGAATACGGAACTAAGGCCATATAGTACCCACAGGTCCACTCTGGACTACTACTGTAAGAAGAACGGGATAAGATCTTAAAGGACCGGAAGGTAGAAGTTTTGGACTTACCAGTTCCTAAACTTAATTTTTCGCAAACTGGATTCTTGAGAATCAGAAGAAATTTCTCTTGTCACGTTGGGATACCATTATACTGAAACACAAATGATGACGACAATGAAAATAATAATGATATACCTGTGGAGAGTCACATGCATTCTTTTATCCATTTCAGCCTTCGACGGAGAAGATCTTCTGACAGCATAGAATTCTCAGCAGATATGGTCCACATTGTCCCTGGTTACCCAAAGCAGTCACCGGATGATCCCAGCATAACGTTGTTGGCTTTCTATCTGCAGCTTCCTGGAGACATCGGAGATAGCTTGGTCAGCGAGGACGTCCTGCAAAACATCGTGAAAAGCGATATGAAATCTATTGAAGGGTCCATGGGTGTTAGTATCACAACTGTTGAGTCAATGCCATCCGCTCAGCTTGAGAATGAAAGTGATGAAGAGGATAAGAAAGAAGAGAAAGATAATGAAAAATCGACCTCGAACTTTGTTATCGTGGGAGTTACCTTGGGAGCTTTACTACTGTTGGGGATTATCATTGCTGTCACCTTGTGTATTAAAACTACCAGGTATGCGAATCTCTTTTGAGGTTCAAAGAGGAGCAGATGTGGGACCAGTTTGCTCTGTCATAGTGTTATTTCACATACTGGGACTGCTTCAGTCCCTAAGCAACTGAAAACCCCTCGGTGGGCAAAGCAAGGGATTGTAGGGGAGGAAACGTCTAGGACTGGGAGCCCGCTAACAGTTTTTTCTTTACAGAAATATGAATATTAGAATTTTTTTTTAAATCGTAAGTTGAAGTAGCAGTTTAGCAAGTTGAGTTTGGATTAGGATCCCTTGATGTTTTAAACTAGTAACATCATATGATAGGCATCTTAAGTATCTGCATAATACAAAAAGAAAAAGAAAATCATGTCTGCTTGTTGATACCAATTTATTTCCTCGTTTGGATATTTTTCCAAGATGCCTGTTTAGAACTTTCTTCTCCTTAATTGAGGTGGGATGTAAAGTTGAAAAACTACGTCACTCCCTATAAATTATCCTAATTGAAATAGTTTATATATGTGATTCTAACCACGATAATTTTGATTTGGTTCTAATCTTAGATTTGGCCCCAAATGCCGTGTGCAACCCAGCAAGAAGATTGACGAAGGAATTGATGAGGGTCGTGAGGCTGTCGATGAGAACACAAATAAACAAGAAGTGACTTTCAGCAAACCAAGCGGTATTGCCTACGACAACAGTGCTTACATTTCTGTAAAGCAAACCATTGCAGTAGCACAACAAACTGAATTCATTCCAATCGGAGATCTACGCGACAAACTGTACGGGCAGCAGAGTCACTCAGCAAGTAAGAACGTTCGTTCATCAGCCGAAGAAACATTACTTGACGAGGAATATCAGGAGGAGAGGCTGCCCAGGTGCAGTGACGAGATGCCGCCAGTCGAAAATGCGAACTGCTGAACTGTATCTTAAGCATATTGACCCTTACTATTTGGGCAAACTTTGCTTGTTTACTACTTTGTTTGTTTTTATATTGACCAAGCGCAGCTAAAATGGTTGTCGAGAAGTTCCTCATTTGCTTTTTTAATGGGCAAAGGACAGATTCTTTTTAGCCTTTTACAGAGATAGTAAAGTTAAAGCTTAGTTGTTAATTTTTAAAGCTAAAGCATCTTGCTAATTCATTCTGGGGAATAAGGCGAGCAATCGCGTTGGGTTAGAGAGACTTCTTTTGCTGCTCGGCTAACCAATCAGAAGGTAGGAACCGCCTCATCTTTCCTGCTCACGGAACCATATATAGATAGAGAGGGATATTAAACTCTCTTTTTAGACGTCAAAGTTTCAATTGAAGGTAACGGTTTATGCACTAGTGTGTATTACAAACCTACAGACTCGCATAATTACTTGTTATATTCGTCTTCGCATCCATCTCACGTTAAGAATTCCATTCCTTTTTCTCAGTTTCTAAGACTTCGTCGTTTATGTAGTAATGACTCTGATTTTCACCACAAATCAGAGTCAATGTGCCAGTTCTTCGATAAACGTGGTTACCCTGTTTCCGTCGTTCAAGCGGGTTACCACCGCGCTCAACTTATTGATCGACATTCAGCACTACAAACGTCGCATAAGGAAGATTCCGACCGCATTCCATTCACTCTCACGTTTCACCCTCACAACCACTCAGTTAAATCCATCATTCTTAAAAACTTTAAATTACTTCAAAACGATCCAGAGACAAGCACTATCTTTTCGCAGCCTCCGCTCATTTCATTCAAACGCGACAAAAACTTAGGCAATTTTTTGGTCAGAAGTTCTTTTCAGACTAATGAGCAACCAGGCACTTTTAAATGCGCTCGTGCACGATGCAAAACGTGTCCTTTCATTCACAACACTGATAAAATATCGGGACCTAAACGATCCATTAAGATCACCGATCACTTCACGTGCACCTCCGCTAATGTAATCTATTGCATAACTTGCACTTATTGCAAAAAGATATACATCGGCGAAACAGGCAGAAGACTAGGTGACCGATTCCGAGAACACCTTCGAGACGTGGAAAGGAATGACAAGGACACATCGAAACCAGTCGCTAGACATTTTAATTTACC